GTGTGGGTGTGTGTGTGTGTGTGTGTGTGTGTGTGTGTGTGTGTGTGTGTGTGTGTGTTATATGTGTTATAAACATATCCCTATATTCTATCCCTATAGTAAAATTAGTATATTGTATGTAAATGTTATAACATAGGATGATTTTTATATATAACAACTATATGTCAACAATATACATTTTATTTATATATGCAATTTTATTAAAGCTACATATATGCACAAATCTGTATGTTTATATATATATATATATATATATATATATATATATATATAGTATTTATTTTTTTGTATACATGGCTCTTTTACTTACTCTTATATAATATCAACACTGATGGATGTGACTATAGCTATGCAAGAATAGCTTTAGCTCTTTTTTTTGAAAACGTCCTGTACTATTAGCTGCAGTAGTAGTATTTTTTTGAAGATAGAGGTTGAAAAGGTGAAACAGGCCCTTTTAGAAACTCCTCTGTGTTCTTAATCCATTTTATGGTTAATAATCAGCTTCTCAATAGGAGTTTTTTCCCCGAGGGTCATTATCACACATTGATTAGTGGCATGTTAAAGCAATGTAGCATTTCTTCACATTCTGTAAGCTAAAGCCCTGCCGCTCGCCCGGGGTCTCAATATTAGCTTGGTTTAACATCACAGAATGTTTTTTTCATCAGCTTTCCCAGCAGGCTACTGTAGCAGCAGTGAAACAGAGGTCACATCCTCGCTGGCTATACATCACACCGCTAATGGCACTATTAGCATCGCCTGCGCCATCGCTCCCCAAATGAGAAATATGTATTGTTTGGCTCAAATGTGCATAATGATAAGCGCCTAAATGATTTGCGGCATTAACTTTGAATGACATTGTCTGCATTGTTATAGGAGGGGTTTTGTCACCTGCAGCGTGCTGAGTTACGCTGATATTATTTTTCAGTATTAAAGAAGAAAAATGTGAATATTCTGTGATAACTATTGCTTGATCAATTACTGTACAATTTACAGCGATAAGGAAAAATGTAAATCAACTTATAGTCTTAATTTTGAGATATTATATTATATTATATTATATTATATTATTCAGTATTAAAGAAGAAAAATACTAATTAAGGAGTGAAATAGGAAGGATTTTGCTTATTTATTTTGTATTTATTTTTTTAGTAATAAAGAAGAAAATTTGGAATTTTCAGTACAATTATTACTTAATTACTTTTTTTGCAGTGTTGTGGTAAAAATCCAATTGCACTCTTAATTGTAAGAAAAATACATATATTATATTATATTATATTATATTATATTATATTATATTATATTATATTATATTATATAACAATCAGCAATACATCTGTTTCAGCATTTATTAGTCTTTGTTAATTTATATATATATATATACACACACAAAATTATTATTATTATGTAAAATTACATATTATATTATCTTATATTATAATAATTTTTCAACATTGAAAAATTTTACATTTTCTTTTCTTTCTTTCGTTTACTTAAATAATTATCATTCAATTACTATAATATTTACAGTATTAAGGTAAAAATCCCAATCAAATTGCACTTTAAATTCTGAGACGGAAAAAAAAAAAAACATACATGCACACATATATTATTCAGTATTAAAGGATTTTCAGATGTGCATAATGATCAGTTTTAACTTTGAATGACATTGGCTGTATTGTTATGGGAGCGATTTAGTCACCTGCGACGTGCTGAGTTCATTCAGCGGCCGACTGCTCTGTTATTTTCCATTCAGCTGCAGATGTTGGATGAAGGCAAGCTGCCGTTTGTCCCGTCAGGTGTTTTGAGGGTTAAAATGGGCCGCCCCGTGTGAGGGATGAGTGTGGCTTTGGGATATGTGCCATTTACGCGGGGTTAGAGTGCAGGGAAGCGAAAGAGTGCGAGCGAGCAGAGTTTACCGTAATTGATCTGTCAGTATTCTGCTGTGTCGCCGCACCTCAGGTTGCCACAGAAATGAGAAAAAATTTTTTAGAAAAATTTTATTTTCCACTAAAGACCTCTATTATTTATTTCATTCCCTTCCCTTGTCTCTGTCAGGGTGGTTCTGATGGGGTTAATAAAATAGGGGTCCGGGGTCTCGACTTCTACATTACAAACTCTGTTTTCAGCCAAGGACAAAACAGTATCTTGGATTCGCAACTGGCCTCCTTCAATCGATGTATCCATGTCAATATGTTTACCAGCGCTCCATTCTTTACTCTATACAAAAACATATCTCCGTTCTTCGCATTCCTCCCCGAGTTGAGCAACCTACATGCCTGTCAGAGCGATTTGCTAAGAAAGCCGAGTTGTTTGGATGGCTCACCATCTCATTGTCTCTCAGTAAATGTATTTTTTCAGTAAATCCCTCCTTTCAGAGGCAGGATATGAAATCATAGTGAAATGTGAAGGAGTGTCAGTGTCAGGCTGAGGAAAATCCCCATCTAATGAACTTGTGCACCCGTGGCCACCTGTCTTACGTATTTAAGCTCAACACACACATCGACTGCTTAATGCTAATGCTGTGACTTACAACAGACTCTTTCAGAGGAAACAGAATGAGAGAGTGTCATGGCATGAGTGTTGCGTGTTGAGTAAATCCTTGCCAAACAATCAGAGGCAGCTGTAGCCTCAAATCTTTTCTGGAAAGTCCGGAATGTCAATAGTGTAGAAGAACATCATGGAAGCTATGCATGGAAGTAAAACTCTGTGTTTCTGTTTCTCTCCCTGTGTCCCAGCGCCCAGTGCTCCTCCTCAGCAGGTGACGGTCCTCACTGTGGGCAATCAGAACAGCACATCCATCAGTATCTCCTGGGACCCTCCTCCTGCAGAGCATCAGAATGGCATCATCCAGGAATATAAGGTAATTGCCACGTGACTCCATCAGAAACACCAACAAACACATGCAACTTAATAAATATCCAAATAGACTTCCACTCTTAATTCTCTTAATATATTATATTATATTATATTATATTATATTATATTATATTATATTAT